GGCAGTTTGGGAAGAGTGCAAGAAGGTGTGCAAGAGACACCGCATGGGTTGTGGAATGTGCATGCAACTGCAGCACAGGTAGGGGACGCTGTAAAAGCGGGGAAGACTTACCCCCAATGACTTGCAATCTTCCCCCCCGCCCCACCCCAGCTTTCTTGACTTTTTCCAGAAACCAATTAGGAAGGTTACAAATAGCGATTGATTGCAAGCACTTGGCACTGCTAAATAAACTGCACAACCATAACCATAACCTAAACCTGAAGGAATTTTTATTTTTAAATTAAAACATCAGCAACAGATTTTAACAACTTGAATCAAATCCTGCTGAGTAACAATTAATGAGAATTTTCCATATTTTTCTCTAAATAATGTCTTTATGAAAAATATTTTTAAAACTCTGAATGTGCCATAAAGTACAGCTGAGTTACGAATGTAATAGAGACTGCCTATTCCATTCGTAACCCAAGGATTCATGGGAATAAATCTCGTACACTTTGAGTGCGATCACTCCCTCCTTTCGTTAAGTGCACATGAAGTATTTCAGACTGAGGAAGGCCATGGGAGTCCTAGTGATGGAACAGGCCACCTGATTAAGTCCACTCAAGGCCCCCCCGACCCCTGTGCTCCCCACAATTTCTACCCAACCTGCCACATGGGTCACTTAACATACGAAGATCTAATAAGCCGTCTCCCCTCTAGCCTCTCAGCTGGACTTGCCCCTCCACAGCTCCATTTTGGGGTGTACAGCCTCATCCAGCACTTTGCAGCTCAAAATGAAATTCTGTTTCAGGCTGCAAAGTGATGGACAAGGCCTGCACATGCAAAAACAGAGTTCCAGAGGGGCAGGCCCTGTCTGAAATTGTCAGCTTTGGAAGCCATATTAGCGCCAGAAGCTTCCAGGTTGCCACATCTTTGAGCCTGGGAAGATGGGAGGGGGATATTCCATGGAGTGTATGTGGTTAGACATAATAGAATTCTTCTTTAGGGTCAAGGTGATTTTGTTCTTGCACCTGGCTGAGGAGTACTAGAGAGGACAACTCAAGTTGGGATTGATGGTGATTGGGGCATGTGATAGAATGATGGGAACAGGGGGTGAATTTATAATAATTTACTTATTGGAAGGAAACCTGGAACTTTCAGATTTGGGATTTCCCAGATGTGCCAGTTTACTACTCTAATAAAAGAAGACTTTGAGAGCATGCCTATCTCGGAGTTATTTGTTGGAGTCGAAGTTTTCTGGAACACTGACATTATGTCGAATCTATAAACAGCTACCAGCACCCCAAAAGGGGCTGTCTGGAGTGCTGAGCCCCGGTACCGACCTAAAGTTCAGGCGGTGCAAAGACTCAGTGAAGGCCCCCTAGGAGAACTTTGGCCAGTCGTCCTCTGACTAAACCTGCTGAAGCCACTCCTACCCAATCTACAGGAATTATGAAATGCTACCATTGTTGTCAAGTGGGTCATCAGGCTTCCAATTGTCTGGCCCCTGCACTGATTCCGCAACCAAGGCCCACTACAGCTGCCAGAGGCAGAAGAGCTCCAAGGAAGCCCCCCAGATATCTTTTCACCCAAGTAGCTTCTGACAAAGGGTAGCCTTTCCGTAGTATTAAATATTGTAATTGTCCTCTGGGTAATCTAGTCGAGGATTTTCTTGATTTCATAATGTGTGTCACCTTGTATTACTAAAGGTTTGGGGGGAGCTGCTGGTATGGGTCGTAAATTGGAACCAACAGCAGGCTTCAACAAGTTGCTATGGAAGACTGGGTCTATTTTTCCTAATAATCAAGGGTCTGGGTTCCTCCTAATGCATGACAAAGCTAGACCTCATGTGGTTGGAGTGTGTCAGCAGTTCCTGCAAGACGAAGGCATTGATGCTATGGACTGGCCCACTCGTTCCCCAGACCTGAATCCAATTGGGCACATCTGGGACATCATGTCTCGTGCCATCCGCCATCGCCACGTTGCACCACAGACTGTCCAGGAGTTGAGGGATGCTTTAGTCCAGGTGTGGGAGGAAATCCCTCAGGAGACCATCTGCCACCTCATCAGGAGCATGCCCAGGCATTGTAGGGAAGTCATACAGGCACGTGGAGGCCACACACACTACTGAGCCTCATTTTGACTTGTTTTAAGGACATTACATCAAAGTTGGATCAGCCTGTAGTGTTTTTTTCCACTTTAATTTTGAGTGTAACTCCAAATCCAGACCTCCATGGGTTGCTAAATTTGATTTCCATTGATAATTTTTGTGTGAGTTTGTTGTCAGCTCATTCAACTATGTAATGAACAAAGTATTTAATAAGAATATTTCATTCATTCAGATCTAGGATGTCTTATTTTTGTGTTCCCTTTATTTTTTTGAGCAGTGTATATAGAAACTATAGTCAGATCTAATTTAAAAATTTGCATCCTAGTTATCATACTTTATTTTAGTCTATTGGAAATGTAATAATAAATGTAATAATAAGATCTTGAGCATAAAGGTATAATTGAAATTTTGCAACACATGCTCCAATTATGGATTTGTTGAAATTAAATGCATGCATTTTATTTGGACTAGATCTTGAATGTACAAAGGGAGGCCCACAGATTGGAGATTCCAAAAGTTAGGTTGTTCAGGTATTTGTATGTATATTTGTTTCATACAAATACATGGAACAATCTAACTTTTGGAATCGCCAATCTATTGGCCTTTGTACATATCAGAACTACCCGAAAAAGATATGTGATCATGCAATATGGATTTTTTTTAAAGTTCAATTGCTCTATCCAATTGTGATCAAGGAATTGGAGGTTTGCTTTGTTTGTACTTAAAGATTGAAGAGCATAGATTACTACTGAGGTAAATATACAAGATTGCTATTGGCAGTTCTTTAGCTCTGAAACTTTCAGCATTAATGGATAACACTTGGTATGAAACACTGAAGACAGATGGTTGAACTGTTGAACACTTACACTCATTAGAGATGAGCAAATATTTGGAAAGAGGTGTTTTAGAATTCAAGGGAGCACATACTCATCAACTCTCCCTAGCTGGGTCTTTTTCCAGAATCAAGTGGCTTCTTCTGTAAGTGGCCAAGTACATGTATCCCTTTTGCTTTGTGAGGAATGCATTTCCATGCACAGACATCCAAGAGCAACTTAGAAAGCAGACATATTGTACATCTGACTTAATGAGATAAACGGATGCTTTATACTTGTTCTCTGCATTGTTAAGAGCCTCTGTTGAAGAATTTGTAAGCCCTAATAAATATTCACATCCTTATATCCATTCAAACAATTCTAGATATCCTCTCCTGGTTGAGAGAGTTGGCTTAAACCCAAAAACAATATGAAGTAATGAGTAGGATGTTGGTTTGACAAAACAAGGAAAACCATCAGGGTAGCCAATTTTGTTTTCTTCTATTTTTTACTGTGCTGTGTTGGTGTTTTTACAGCTATCTGCTACTAAACTAGAAAAAGCTGCATTTTCCTAAGGTGCACTAGACCAGTAGCCCCCAACCTTTTTTGTGCCGTGGCCCGCTACCGCCATCACAAAATCATCCGCGGCCCGGTACTGGCATCAGCACGCATGGCAAGGCGAGCTGAGCGACCGGCCAGCCAGCCGTCCCCCGTTTCTCCCTGCCACCTTCAACTCCTCCTTTGTACCTGTGTCGATGGGCTTCGGGACGGCTTCGGGACGGTCACTCGGCTCGCCTTGCCATGCGTGCTGAAAGATTCCTCGCGCCTTAGTTTTGTTTGAAGCCACACACACACCCCCCCGATGAAACTAAAGCGCGAGGATTCTTTCAGCACCCAAACGCCGCTTTCTATCCGGAAAAGCTCACCGGAAGCACTTTTTCATCAAAACAAGATGGCGGCACCCAGCAAACTGGCGGCCTGGTAGAAATTGTTCCATGGACCAGTACTGGTCCGGGGACCGGTGGTTGGGGACCCCTGCACTAGACAGTCTCATTAATAATAACAATAAACAATAGAGATTTAAATCAACTAGGGACCTTACAGCAAAGCTGTCAAATTCATGGCCCAAAGGCTGGATGTCACACGCTGGTTCCGTCCAGTTTAGCGAAGTGGGGGGGAGAGTGGCCCTACGTCATGTGACGATGCTATGACATGAGTTTGACACCCCTGCTTTAAAGTATCATGATCAGAGACAATGCATTTTTTAAAATAAGCAAAATTATGTTCAAATAATAACAATATGACACATTTTGACAGTAAGGAATTCCAGTGGCCTCAAAAATGAGCTGAAAGGCATTTTTCAGCTAATTACTGACTACTTACAATCTTAATTTCACGTATTATATAAAAACCGCAAATAATGGCTAATTTAATAAACTATAACTAAAATAGGGTTTAGCAAAAGTGCAAATCCAGCCATATAAGTTTTATGATGTAGAATTACCTTGGAACTATTATTTATTTAAAATAACACTCCAATTTATAATAGCTTAATCTATGACCTTAGAAAGGCACAATTCCTCTACAGCAAAAAAAAAGCATTTATCATCGAAGACAAAAACAAAAAATGCCACACTTAAGTGTCAGTTTTTAAAACCTATTTTTGGAAGTTTGGAAGTTTAACCCTCCAAAATAGAAATCGGAACATAACAGTACTATACTTTTTTCCCCCCAAGAAAAAAAGACTGAACGAAAAATACTCATAATATAAGCACTCTGTCCGTTTTTCTATTATTGGTTCTGAAAATTCAGTCTTCCTCCTTCATTCAAAACGTGAAGGAAACTGCAGGCAATTCCATAGTTTAAGAAACGCTGAGGAACTTATTTTTTTTCTCCATTCTCAGGGGTTTAACCTAAACCAGGAGCAAGGTATCTCCTGACAGGTTTGCACAATAAAGAAACCCAGCTAAGTATAGTTTGTAAAATATGATTTCAACTTTTTCATTCCGTATGAGTCAGCCGTTATAACTTTTGGCTTCCTTTGCTTGCTCGGATTGGGTGGCTCAACCTTGGAAAAACAAAAATAAAACGGTCCCAACCTCTTGCCTTTCAGACGCGTTAAGTGTAAAAGGCCGAAATCGCCGACCACATCCTTTTCTGGCTTCCCAGCCGCGCTCCGTTGGGCAAGGCAGAAAAACGCGTCCGGAAATACCCAGGATTGGCTGGTGCTAGCAGTCAACGGGCGCGATCACACGAGACGGGTCGCTGCGTCTCCATCTGGTGATTTGCGCAGGGAGGAGAGGCGTGGCTAGCAGGCGAGTCCGGTTCTGTTTCTGCGGTTCCGGAGCTGGGTCAAGTTTCTGGAGAGGCCTTTAATACTTAAAATGCATGGCATTCGGTAACAGAACAAGCCAACTTCTCTGCCCCGCTTTCCTTGCAACGTGGCTTCTTCTTCCAGAAGACTAAAATTTTGAGGCCTTGTTTTTATTATAGCTGCGGGGGGAAAAAAGAAGAAGATTGCAGAATCTGGAAAAACTAGAATTGCATGTTGGAAGAAAAAAAAAATCCGGTCCCGATTCCAAACTGGGAGAAAAATGCTGGAAATAAATCGAGGCCGGCTTGCAGGCGTTCTCCCCCTTTCTCTCTTTTGTGCGCGCGTGTGCGCGCACACACACGAACACGCAGGAGACCCTCCTGGGCCGGGATCATTGCAATGGCAACTCTTCCTCCCTCTGCCACTAACTGCGCGCTCCTGTGAGTAGTTGGCCGCGCTGCGGAGGAGAGTCGGAGCTTTTTCCTCCCTGCATCCGGCGGCCGTAGCTGCTCCTCTTTCCTGAGCCGGCACGAAGGGGGACCCGTGGCTGCCGCTGAGCTGCCCGCGGAGGACGCAGAATCGTAAAAAGCAGCCGGTCGCAAATGCAGACCCGTCACCCGGCTGGGCTTTTTTTATTTTATTTTTTTGCAATTCCGCGTCCTTCACGGGCAGCTCAGCGGCAGCCACGGGTCCCCCTTCGTGTCGGCTCAGGTGAGAGAGAGAGAGAGAGAAATGAGGAAGGGAAAAGAATGAGAGAGGGGAAAGAGAAATGAGAGAGAGAGAGAAATGAGAGAGCTGGAGGGAGAGAATGAGAGAGAGGAAAGAGAAACAAATGAGAGACAGAGGGAGAGAAATTTTTTCCGATTGGAAAAAAGGATAAAGCAACACATAGATTGGAAACCTGAAACATTGCTATTAGGGGTGGTGCCTGAATGTTATAGCAAAGCATATTTAATCATTCGTGTATTAACTGCAGCTAGAATTGTATTTGTTCAAACTGGAAAAGCGAAAAAAAAAAATTCCAGTAGAGGAAAAGATGATTGAGAAAATATTAGAACGTGCAGAGGTGAATTGTTGAACCCTGGCAATTAAAGAAAAAGAAGAAACTGAATATTATATGGTACGGGATTTATTTTACCAATGGTTGGAAAATAAAAGAAGTGAAAATTGAGTAGATGACTATATAGAGAAATAAGATTCTTATAAAAATAATAGATGTATGGGATAATGGTTTATCAAGAAAATGTGATTGTTTTGGCAAGGAATGTATTAAGTATAATTGTTAGCCCTAAATATATGTACCCAGTTGACACATTGTTTGAATTTAGGATGAATTTATTGTAATATAAAATAAAAAACTTTTTTTTTTTAAAAAAAGGAGAATGCACTTCGGGCTTGGAGCGGTAAGCTGCATCCAGAAAAAACTGCAGCAGAGAGAAGTGGCTGGAGTCAACCCTAGCTTTGCTGTCCATTGCAGATAGGAATCTCAAATAAGGCCAAGAATGAAAGTTTGTATTGTAGCCAGCTAGATTGGCCCCCTGTGAATTCCTCATCTCTCTCAAGGAGCCGGCCAAGGTCTCACTAACTAATCACTGAGGCCCCTGGACTCCCAGTGACAGGATGGGGTCCTGCAGGTACTTAGCTTGGCCTCCTGTTTAGTAGCTCCGGCCCCTCCCTCTGTCAACAGGAGTCTAGGCACTTCAGTGGGCAGCGAGCGAGGCCTCAGTCGGGCTCCTGGACAGACAAGGGCTTCACAGGGGGCCGATCTAGCACCTGGGCTGGCTGCAACACAAACGTTCATTTTCAGCCTTATTAGCTGCAATGGTCAGCCAAGCTAGGTTTGATGTCCCTCTGTGTCAATCCAGCAGACAAAATAGATAAAGGGAGTGGAGAGAAACAGTCCAGTTGTCAAGGTACGCCAGAGTGGGAGGCCAGCGAATCGGAGAGCTTCTTTCCTATCTTTCCAGGAAGCATGCAACTTCTCACAACCGGGCCCTTGCAATTTGTTCTGCTGCCGGAGGATAAGTTGCAGTGGTTCCAAATTGGGCCGTGCCGGTTCCTTGCAGTCACCCATGATGGGATTGCTTTGGGATCTTTTTGTGTGGGTCGGAGCGGGGCAGAAATTCCAACTCGGGGTTTGCTTGAAGGCTGGAGGGAAGCGCTGCGGGTGGCGAAGAGCCAGAGGGCTTCATTCCAGTGGGACTGCATCATGGCCTGGAACTAGCTGACCATCTCAGCCCAGTGAGCTTCCAGGCGCCTGTACTTGGTCTTGCACTCCTGCAGGTCTTCCTTCTGCTTGGTGCCTATGCTCGTAGTCCTCAGTGAGGTGGTTCTGCTGAGCCTCCTTCTTGGTCAGATCCAATTTGAATGGAGGCAGCTATTTTGCCAACTCTTTTTCATGGCTCTTAGCTCCAACACCTGCTTCCTGTTGGGGCCCTAAGGAGCCAGGATAGGGAGGCAAGGAGCGGCTGGAAGGGGAGGGGTTAGGACAGGAGAAGATGGCAAGGCATCCCTCAACATGAGTGACATCAAGTTGGCCGTGCCCACCCAGTCACATGACCACCTACCCACACCTACCCAGCTGGTCATTAGGCAGACTATAATCCAGCCCCCCAATAGTCTGAGGGACTGGGAATTGATCCCGTTTAAAAATCTTGAGGATCCTTGTCTATCCAGTGGAAAGCTTGCAAAAGTCATCCCGTGCAGAAAAGACACTCCCCTGAGAAGTGGAGAGGCTGTGGAGTTTCACCGCCTAGCAAAATTGGGGGAGGGAACTCTGACCTCACCAGTAGAAGACTCTGGCCTGTTTGAAAGCAACTCTGAAGACGACCTGCTGGTAAGTGAACCAGTTGAGTCGGTCACATTGCCCATACGTCCCCAGCCGGAACAAGAAAATAAAGCACTCAGCCCTTCTAGACCTGGGGTGTACCTGATGCTTAATAAGCCCAACTCTGGTGGAGGAATTGGGTATCCACCTATGGAAGCTAAAGACTATCCCTTCCTCTAATGAAAGACCTGCTAGCTCACCCCTCCAAAGGACATTTTTTCTCAAAGCTAAATCTACTAGAGTCAGAATTAGGAAAGGGAACAACTGGAAAATGGCTTTTAACACATCATTGGGGTGTTTCCAGTTCAAAGTGCTCCCATTCGGACCACAGAGGGTCCCAGCAGTTTTTATGCAATTAATAAATGAATGTTCCATGAGCACCTACACAAAGGGATTTTGGTGTACTTAGATGACATTTTAATATACATGAAATGAAAGTGGAGCATGTAAAACATGTCCAGGCGGTCCTAAAGAAACTTTGTGCTGCAAAGCTGTATGCAAATCCAAATGCATGTTCCACAAAGATAAAATAGACTACCTACAGAATTTCCCACAATGTCATAGAAATGGACCCAGAAAAAGTATGAGCCCTTTCCCCCAAAAAAACAATTAAAAAGCTTCCTGGGGTTTGCCAGCTTCTATCGGCAATTTATCCCGGCATTCATGCAAATTGCGCTCCCCATCACTAACCTGCTGAAAACAAAAGGGGGAAACATCCACTAAATTGGACCATTGAATGCCAAGAGGCATTTGAGAAAGTGAAATTGTTGTTTTCAGCAGAACCAGTGCTGAAGCACCCAGATCCAGAAAAACCTTTTGTCATGCAGGCAGATGCCAGTGACGGTGCCATCAGTGCCGTCCTCCCCCAAGAGAATGAGCAGGGCCTTGAAAAAAACTAACAGATACTGAACAGAGATGGGCTATCTGGGAGAAAGAGGCATATGCCATACAATTGGGCCCTCCTCATAAGGAGACATTTCTTCGGGGGGGGGGGATGAAATCCCCTTCCAAATCTGGACTGACCACAAAAATATGGAGGCCGTTAAGACCCCATGGAAGCTATCCCAAAAGTAAATCCGCTGGGTTCAGTATTTCAAGTGTTTTGACTTTGGGGTGAATCTGCTCACATCTGGTAGCTTCCATAGGGTCCTCCTTCCTCTGGTTGCTGTGGGAGGCCAAGGTTGATGGACAAGTCTAGGAGCTAAGCACTCGGATGCTCGGTGCCCTAGTTGTAATATTTAACATGTGCAGTGAGGAATGATTTCTAGATCCGTTGCCATGGCCATAGCATAACAGTCCTGCAATCGGTTTGATACTTCTTGGATGCCACACACTTCCTTGATCTCTGGGTCAATGGCCTCCTTGAAATAGTAGACAAGAATTGATTCAGGCCAGTGTCTGAAGTCCCTGCCTACCCTTCTGAACTCCCAGAAAAACTCCTTAGCGGGGCAATTGCCCTGTTTCATAGTTTTAATCAGGGTTCTCATTCCTGTGGTCTGTCTCTTCAAATCTGGCCTGGGGCAGCTGGATGAATTCATCAGCATCGCCAGTAGGTCCTTCATCGTGTAATTGGGCTATCCACTCCACCACTTCTTGGTTTTATGTGGTTTTCTTGGTATTTATTGCAGTCTTGGATAGAGTTATCACCCAGTCATTTGACTAGGATATCATGAAAATGTTAATAAGATAAATTATGTAATTGAACTCTGTTGGAGAGAGGGAACAAAAAGATATTGGGTTTTATCTTTGTTTCTTAAAGTCATATATGAAACCTAATAAAAAATAAGAATCTATTTTAATTTCCTCACAAATGGATTTATAACACACCACTCAGCAGAAAATAAAACTGGACAACGAATTTCAATCAATTTTATTTTGAATTTATGTTTTCTCAACAACCAATATAATTATCTGTAAACAAACTACCATACATTAAAAGGTTTTGCTGCTTACTGACATCAGTAATACGTGCACATGAGTAAAAGGTTCGCTTTTTCTCCAGTATATTTTAAAAATGGACAAGCAGCAAATAATACTGATTCAATCTAAGCTAAAGCACCAAGCAAACACAGATTTAATTCTAAATACAATATAGGAAAGGATCAAAGTAGATCTATTATCCAGTTTATGACAGTTTATTTAAATTACAATATATTTTAAAAGATAAATATGTAGCTAATGACTCAAAAAAGGTAGTTATGCAGACACAAAAAATGTTATGATCAAGCAAATTCAGAAATCTCAGGCCTCTAAATCAGCAACCTTCAAACCTAAATTTGATGTCCTTTTCCAGTTGTAAACACTTTTGCTAAACATAGGTATTTCAACATATATTAATATACTTTTGACATTCAAAGTTATAGAATCAATATGGCAGAATTATTGTTAAAAACACATATATACAAATAGTATTCCCTGTGTCCCTGTTCCCCCAATTACATAAAG